CAAATGCCGAAAATCGACATAGTACATGATGCAGATTTTCATTTACTCTAGCAATTCAATTTTTACTATTTATTTTCTCATGTAGACTCTCATGATTTTCCAAAAATAGACAAACTTTTCACACCATATGGAAGAGAAAATCAGTGGAACAATACTCTCCAGTCCCCTATATGGCCACATTGGCTAATTGTGGCCTTTGGGCACTATATGGGATGCCTATGGTACACCCTCACAGCACCCTAGTTGTGACCATCAACGGGTTAGGGTTTTTCATCGAGATCACATTCTTGACTCTATTTTTTATATTTTCCGATTTGAAAAAACGGTTGAGAGTGGTCATAATCATGGTGGCCATTTGCGTTTGCCTAGCGGTTTTGGCCTTACTTGTCCTAATTTTGGCCGGAACCACTCAACTCCGATCGACAGTTGTTGGTAGCATAGCAATGGCAGCCAATATTTTGATGTATGCTTCGCCCTTATCAGTTATGGTACGTGTATTTGTATTTTGTATTGCGAGTTTTTGTATAAAAAAAAAGCTCATAAACTGATCTAAAATTACGTATCGAAATGGATATATACTACTAAATCCGACCTTTAGTCATATTCTCTATTAAGACATCTGCATTTATTCACATTCATTTGTTCATCTATTACATTCTCCTTTCACCTTATAGATNTCATTTAAATACTCTCTCATTCATTTAAACATTCCAAGTCACTAATGTTTTGGTCTACTCCTCAATTTCGATTTTAAAAAAATATATATAAATTGGGTAAACAGACAACAAAAGAAATAATAATATATTATCTTATTATACTTAGTGGCCCCATATTTCAGCTTTTTGCTCGTTAAATGGCATTCAACCTTTCACGTAGAGGGGTTGGCATGGGTTTAGCCATTTAAATGAATACTCACGTTGCAATAAATGAAATTTTGGCATTTAAATTAATATGATATATGTTTATGATGATGTCATATTAACCATGCACATATTATTCATTGAACGGAACGAAGTAGAGATTTGAACATAATCTTACAATTAAAAGATCCATCTTTTGAAGCCTAAAATTGAAGCACAATACTACTATAATTTTGGTCCTCGATTTAGATTGTGACACAACACACTTTTATGCCGGAAATTATTGTTGATTTGAACCTATTAATTGCAGAAATTGGTGATCACCACAAGAAGTGTGGAGTATATGCCATTTTTGCTTTCCCTTTTCACACTCCTCAATGCAATTTGCTGGCTTTCTTATGCTCTTATCCAATTCGATCTCTTCCTCATGGTAAGCAAACTTTTTGTTCTTCACAATATTTTCATGTTCTTGGTTGGATAATATTTATCTTATGGTTTTCAATTTTTTTTTTTTTTTTTCCAAACGNTTTTTTTTTTTTTCCAAACGTTTCCTCAATTTAGAATGTGACTTTCAAATTTAAAATTAACTGAAGTAATTGATTTAAAGTAACGAGTACCAACAGTTATTGTGTTATTTTTCTGTATTCATGGAGGAATATAATTCCAGATTGATTCATGTATAAACCCAACTATGTGAGTTGCAGATCCCTAATGGAATGGGAACATTTTTCGGCCTGGCCCAATTAATACTATATGCTGTATTCTACAAATCGAGCAAGCAAATCATTGCCTCAAAAAGGGCCCAAACACAAGTGGGCTTAACAGAAATCAGGCCAGATAGCAATAGCTGAAGCGGCGTGTTATGTCCAGCCCTCTCTCAATCATGTATCAGGCCCATTAAGATATGTGGCCCATTTAAATTACAATTAACTCCAGGAACCGTCATAATTTTCTCAACTCATATCTTCACATGCATATGAGCATATATAATATCCTGTTACATGTATCAATATCATTTTTCACAGATTAAAATGTTAATTAGAATTACTAGTGTTTTTCAATATTTTGACACTATATGTAATAACACATGATATGATATGGTGAGATTATAAATAATCACCATTACCCTGTTCAAGATGAAGATGTTCTATACAAATGAGATTATAAATAATCACCATTACCATGTCCAAGATGAAGATGTTCTATACAAAAATGTTCGCAAACACATCCAGTTTGGCTCATGAAAACTTGAGCACAACTTGTTCATATACTTAAACAAGCTAGTTTAAAAATAACTAGAAGAGCTCATTTATGAAAAAAGTCAACTCAAACTTGTTTTCAAGCAATTCTTCTTTTTTTCATTTTTTGGTAAATTACTTTTTATCATTCAAACTATCGCGATTTTTTACAGCTTACCATATCAACTATTTTTTATTTTTTATTTTTTTTTTACAAACAGCCATATGAACTCCACGTTTTTTCCATCTTGTCCCCTAAACCGGATGTAAAGTGGTTTTGACTAAAAAAACACTAATTTTCGATGATATTTTAGGAATTTTGTATAGTACGGAAAAGAAGAAATGAAGGAGGTGTACAGGGGAGTGTGGGGGGATATACCTTACCAGACGATGACGCCATGTCTGTTCAGGGTGTCGGCGCCCGTCCTCCATGTGCAACTAGAAAACGGTCTGGTAAGGAATAAGTCGAGGACTAGTCCTCTAGGTGCAGCCGCCGCTCACCCCACACAATAGACCACCGGCAAAGAGCGTCGCAGTGGTAGTGCGGCCGTCGACACATACATGGTCCGATAATATGCATTCATCTATCTCCATCTATGCTCAACGGAGTACGCTCGAGAGCGGACTCTTCGCCTTCTTCATGTTCGTCAAAGACGTGCTCGGCTGCGCTACCGGAGCCGTCGGCGCGCTCCGCCGCCGCCTCCCGTTCGCAGAAAAAACCGACACATGCAACAAGAACTGCACGCACATCAAGGCGTACTTCATTCTGTACGTGGGGCTCGTCGTGGGCTCTGTGGCGGCCTCGTTAAGGAGGAGCCGCTCGACCCATTTAACTCGACCACGCCCGTGAGACTTCCAATCACCATGCGAGTGTGCATAGAAAAAGCTCACCCCACATCAGGGGCGAATCTAGAAAAATGGATTGGAGGGGACTAAATAATTTTCGATGAAGACATATATTTAACAACAAAGACATAACGTTGCAATTTTGGAATTAAAAAAAAATTACTAAAAGATACATACCTTTCAAACTTCGCTACTACTAGAAATATTTGAGAAATGTCTTATTTAANGAACATAAAAATGTCTTGAGCATCATTGCTAGATTACTAAGTTTAAAGAGAAAAAATGAAAATTCTAATGTTAAACTTGTCGAATGTTGTTCAATCCTGAAAATTACATATTCCCAACCACATTATCAAAATCTAGATTCAAGTAAAGAATAAATAAATAATATCATAGTAAATAAAAGTACATATAAATATTATTATCTGATCGGGTGATGAATGCTCAAGTTTGTGTTTTTTTCGTTTGTCTGCCTCTTCACTTCACTCCCCGTCTTATCAGTTGCGTGCATAAACCCAATTTTTGTTTTTTGTAATCTTTTATTATGTTTATTTTAATTATTTATTTAATGGTGTAAAGAACACTTATTTAACTTAATTTTTTATATTATATAACTTGTTAAAGCAAAAGAAAGAAAGAGAGTGCAACTCTCAAGGAAGAGAGATTAATTACTTTAATATATATTTTAAGGGGGGTAAAGTACTTAAATATACATAATATTATATATATTGTACATATATAGTATTAATAAAAAAAACAAAAAAAAAAATTGGGGGGCCATGGTATGTGCATCCGCTCCTGCCCCACACGACACTTCTAATCCCACGTCCCTCAGCCTCTCGAGCTCAGTTAGGATCACCGAGACAAGATCGGGCCTGTCCCTCCTACTTAGTTCACAATGCTTTAAAGCCAACTTGGCCAGTGAGAGGGCCCCGTCAACTGGCCAGTCCACAATTGTGCGGTCAAGCACATCCACAAACTGGCATGACTTGATCACGGTCTCAACATGGTGCGAAAGACCCATAGCTGGCCGTGTTGTGAGGATTTGAAGCAGCAAGACCCCGAACGAGTAGACATCGGATTTGGTCCCAAGCATGCCCGTCTGCTGGTACTCGGGGTTGATGTAGCAGAAGGTCCCGGCAACAGTCATGTGGCACTAAGTGATGTTGTTGGCAACGGGGGCTAGGACTATGGTTGTAAACGAATCGAATCAAAAAGAATATTAAGATATTTGATTCGGATTTGTTAAAATATTCTAAAATTCAAATTCGTATTCGATTCGTAAATGAACTCATTTTTTATTCGTATTCAACTTGTTTATAATATTCGAACATAGTCGATTCGATTTGAAATTCATTTTTAGAAAAATATTATAATTAAAAAAAATTATAATTACAAAAATATTGTTTATGTTTTTCATATGGGCGAATTGTTAATTTGGGATGTTTCTACTTTTTATGTCATGAAATATTAAGAATATAACAATATATATATTATAAACAAAATTATACTATATCTAATTTATAAAATTTATATAATTTTTGTTAACGAAGCGAATATCATAATTTCGAATCAAATATCTACAAATTAAAATTCGAATTCGTTTAACTTTCGAATACAGAACATTACTCGTATTCGAATTTGAATCACGAATATTGAATCGAATAATCAAAAAAATTTGATTTGTTTACAAGCCTAGCTAAGACCAGGCGGCAGAGGCCGACATCGCTAGTCTTGCTGACGAAGTTGCGGTCAGATGTCGGCGGGCTTGAGGTCGCAGTGGACGAGGGGGCTTGGGACGGGTTCGGTGGAGGAAGTTGAGGGTAGTGGCAAAATCAGTGAATATAGCAACAAAATGATAGGGAATGTGTACAGCAAAAGAACGTGAATATATTCCGGTTCATTTTTTTTTTTTCAAAAATATATGAAAT